AATTTGATGAAAATTTTTTTATTTAAATTCTACAAATCCATAGAATTCGAATAAAAAAATTTTGATTGAATTTGATCAATTAGTTGCTGAGATATCTTCAATCAAAGTTTAAAAAATTTGTAAATAATTATATAATAAAATCGAAAGGATTTACATAAACCATGGTGCAAATAGTAGTTCCCTAAATAAATATTATTATTTTTATTGTATAGAGGTAATATAAATTAAATTAGCAAAGTGATTGGTAAGTTAAAGTCTTAGAACTTAAAAAAAATTATTATAACATGGTTTAACTGATTGGCTGGATGGTGTAGATCGTCATGTGGTTCGAGTAGAATCTTTCGCCATGGCTAGGGTACGCACCTTCGGTGCTTAAAATCGACCAATCAAATCGCATACAGCAAATACCTCAGTTATTCGGCGCTTCGTGCCTTAATTATATTAACGTTAATCAATTGTATCATTTTACGGAGAAATAATTAAGACTGTTTCTGCGAAACAAACGACCACTTTCACCAAAGTACTAAACTACCCATGGCAATTGTGAGCACAACATACATAGTCAGAGGACCTATCGCTTCTATAGTAGAAACAAATTTTTGCACACTCTAGGAAATTGTCTTATTAACACAAAAACAATCTAATGTGGGAAAAGATGGATTTGTATGAGCCTGTACATTCGTGCTAAAAATTTCAGAAAAAAAAGATTATTAGACCAAAAACATGTTTTTTTTATTCTATGGGATTGTTTTTATATATTTCATCATGTTACAGATCTTGCTAAAGATTTTGTGCCGTTATGTCACATCCTCATATAACTCTTAAAACCATAATATAACGTGAATGTAATAAATCAAATGATAAAAAAGTAATAAAATAGTTGGCCTAAAGGCTATAGTGATATTATTCCCTTTTTTAGTTTCAATTGTGGAAGAGATTTGGTCGTGAGACGAAACCAGGAGCTGAATCATGATTCTGGTTACGTCTCGAGTAGTTCAATTATGGGTTAATCAATAATAAAGGACTACTATATAACTGATATCATAGATATCAATTTTTATTAAGAGTTTTACATTTCTAAAAACTATTATGCATTTCTACTCGAATTTCAAAGAAAATTTTGTCGAAAAGTTTATTACTTACGATTTGAAGGTTTATTTTGAAGTGAAAAACTCACTTTTATAATTATTTTCCACTTATTGTGTACATATTCGATATGACTATTAGACCTAACCTAACGCCTATATTCAACGTATCCCGTCTAGTCGCTAAATCACTTAATTTTCTTAATTTGAAATGAAAATAATGAACTTTAATTTATAGCATTGATTTAACAAATTTGATTGGTTTTTGAGGTTGACATCGTTGACCAAAAATGGGACATAATTTGGGTTTGGTTATTAATCCCAAATGAAGTAAAATTCCCGATCCTCAAACCAAAACTACGTAGTTAATGTCATAATACAAAAAAGGATTGAGTCACAACCCTAACGAATACCAACTATATCGACTACTCCAATATTGGATGATGATGGTCTTGATGCACGCCTGTCTTCACCATCAACCACAACAGAAAATTGTGGGATCTCATGTTCATGTTCATTATCTTGTTCTGATAATAATTGTAGATGTGGATATGGTTGAGGCAGTCGTCTTTGATCTTTTTCTTTTGGAAGCCTCGTATGTTCACCTGGGGATGCGCCTACGTTTCCTGGAGATACCAGGGCCGCAGCTATCTGAATCTGAGGTGGAACTTGAATATTTCCAATTGTACTAGCACGAGGTCTTAAAGTAGTACCTAAACTCGGTTTTGGAGCCAAAGTCGCCATTTTATTTGAAGTTTGTTGCACATGTGGTCTTTAGGATGCATTGCAGTAGAACTATTTCTCGGATTGCCTCTATTCCCAGGGAGCTCAGAATATAATCAAGTCTCTCGGATCGTTGAAATGTTAGGCGTTCCACCACCATATATGATCGAAGTAGGTAAAACAGCTCACGAATATTTCGAACGGTACATAAATGAGCATGGTCAAAAGAAATATCGTTTGAAAACGATGGAGCAGTATATGAGGGACAATAATTGTGTGGAACAGCCTTCCAAGAAATATTTCTCAGCTACAACTTTGCCTGAAATTATAAAGTCTTATCCGGTGATGAGGAAAGGTGTAACTCAGAAAGATATTGATAAAGGTGACGATTGTATATTATGAATGATATTTGTCATGTATTGGTAATGAACCTGCTACTAATCGAACAAATGAAATACTATATTTCAGAAATGCAAAATCGACTAGCCTTTATTGATTTTGTGCAAGGATTATTGAATCTCAATCCCATTGAACGGTGGTCACCGCAGCAAGCTAAATTACATCCATTCATAACGGGTGAGAAGTTCACCGGTAAATTTACGCCGCCAATGCAACTTAAATCATCCAATAAATCTAGCACTACATCCGCACAATCGGTCCCTTCGTCTACAAATTCACAATCATCATTACATTTGACACCGTTACCGTCACATTCACAATATAAGACACCTAGCACATCACCAAAGATACCAC